TTACCATATGATCCAGCAAAGCCAATTCTAGGTGTATACCCAAATGAAATGAAAGCAGGGATTTGAATGGATATTTGTACACCCATATTCAAAGCAGCATTATGCACAACAGTGAAGTCCTGACACATGCCATGAAATGGACAAACCTCGAGGACATTATGCTAAGGGAAACAAGCCACACACAAAAGGACAGATACTGTATGGTTCCACTTCTATGAAGTACCCAGACTAGGCAAATTCGTAAGGACAGAAAGTAGAATAGTGGTTGCCAGAGGCTGGGGGAAGTGGGGCACAGGGAACTATTGTTTAATGTCTGTATAGTTTCAGTTTAGGAAGATAAGAAAGCTCTGGAGATGGATGGTGATGGCAGTTCAACAACATTGTAAATGTACGTAATGTACTGCACTGTATGTTTAAAATGGTTAAAATGCTATTTGTTGTGTTACACATATTTTACCATAATAAAAACAATTTAGGGCTGGCCGAATGGCTCAGTTAGTTAAGAGCTCGCTCAAGAGTGTGAGCTCTGAGCAACAGGGTTGCCGGTTCGATTCCCAGCCCAAGCTGAGCTGCCACTGAGCTGCCAACAAGTGGCAGGATGGCTCAGCTAAAAAAAAACGAACAACAATTTAAGGTATCAAGAAATGGGGGGAAAGACTATTAATGGCTCCAGTAACAGTTACCTCAGCAGGAAAAGCCTCCTCAAAATTAAAAAAATGATCAAATATTATTTGTGATCTTGCATTTGCCAAGAGCAACTGACATTGAAAATTATAGAAACTGAAAATAAGTAATAAAAGGATAAATTTTGGTGCTCTAATAAACGAATTTGCAGGAAAACAAGTCAGAAAAATCTTTGATCAATCGAGACATCACATATTAATAAAGTACTACATATTGTTTACATAACATTATGATACCAAAATACTTTTGCAACTTATACATTCATATTACTCAGTTATTACTATTACCCCAGTATATTTTATAAGTAATAAAACATTTTAAAGGAAAAAGCTTTTTATTTTAGTTCCTTTAACAGCGTTTTTACCTGCTTTTTGACAAGGAGCTGCACATTTTTGTTTTGATTGGAACCCACAAATCAAGTAGCTGGCCCCAATCCCAGCTTTACCACTGACAGCCTGTCTGTCTTTGACTGTGACGGTTAACCTTTGTAGCTCAGTTTTCTCACCTCTCCATGGCTATGATATTTACCCTGCTTTGTAGAATTGATGTCAAAATATATATATTATTTATATTATGTACACACAGTGGTTTGAGAAGTATAGGTGCTTTGAAATATTGGTGGCACTGTTGTCGTTCATATGAAATATATTTTCACCACTACCCTTCCTGGAGTCTGAGTCTTTAGATAAATACATTTCTTATCTAAAATGAAGAAATTGCATTTATGATTTTCTATGGGGCTTTCCAGACTTTCAAGAGAGTCATTTGGTCCATAAAGTTATCATTTTTACAGACTAGTGATTTCAGGATGGAATTCATTTCTTCATATGACTAAAAGGAAAGTACAAACTGAAAATGATGCCAAAACACTAGACTTCAGTCAACACTCTTAAAGTCTAACATTTCAAATAGTGTTTCTGATAAACTCCATGACTTTTAAGCAATTCCATACAAAAACAGCACTAGGAAAGCTGACCGTCCCTGGGCAACCTGTAGGTATCACACACTACTGAGTGTAAATAAAAATCCGGGTGTAAATAAGGAGGCAAAAATGCCCCACACTAGGCCTGCTACACTTAGGAGCTCTGCCAGGTTATTGTCACACACTGACAATAAACACCCTGACCATCAGTATAGGTGTCATTGTTAACCCACTGCCATTGGGAATTTCTTGAATTTTTTTATACATCCTCCTGAATCTCCCTCGAGACCATGTGCAGGTGACTGGCTTAGGGGTGGCAACAGGATCCCAGGACGAGCTCTTGGGTCAAGAGCCTGGCGCAGAAGGGCCAAACTTGTAACTGACCAATGACCAATAGGTTAACAAGCCGGATGGGGGCAGAATTCCAGCGGCTGCACTGCTCATGCCTTCTGGAAGCTGACCGACATTTCCCTCCTCCAGGCTCTGGAAACCACTTTGAAGTGCTCGCTCACTGGCCATTCCCCCAGTGTCTAACCTTTGCCCTTTCTAATTGCCCTGATCTCATCCCAACCTCCATGGCTTTGTTTAAAGTCCACCTCTGGGGAACACACAGATTGAGTGTTCCAGATTACCCCTTTCCCAGTCCTGCCTCTCATCAGGCTGGCGGGCTGTGTACCTGGACTTCCTGGGACCGTGGCTGGGGTTTGAGGAGAGACCCCAGTACCTACCTGGCTACAGGATGAAGCTGCCCACCAGCTTCTTGATTTTGTGGCTCAGCCTGGGGGGTGGCCTGGCACAGAACGACCCCAGCCCTGACGCGGAGGAGTCCTATTCAGACTGGGGCCTTCGGCACATCAGAGGCAGCTTTGAATCTGTCAATGGCTACTTCGATTCCTTTCTGGAGCTGCTGGGAGGGAAAAATGGAGTCTGTCAGTACAGGTGTCGGTATGGTGAGTACACTGTTTCTCTTCCTATAAAAACTCCTAGAGGTGGACCTGTGAACAGCCGACGCGGGGTCACAGTCATACACTATTTGCTGTCCTCCACCTCTTAGATTGGGTTGCCAGATTCAGCAAATAAAAATATGACACCCAGTGAAATTTGAATTTCAATGAACAACCAATAATGGCTTAATATACTTGAAATATTTGGGATACACTTATACTGACAAATTATTGGTTGTTTATCCAAAATACAAATTGTGTGTGATATCGACAGACTGCTCAGAGATGGTACTGGGGGAACCAGCTTTCCGAGTGCTGTTTCTATATGACGTTGCTTTAAGTCAGAGAGTTTATCAGAAACTATTTGAAACGTTAGACTTTAAATAAGTGTGTTGACTGAAGTCTAGTGTTTTGGCATCCTTTTCAGTTTATACTTTGCTTTTAGTCATATGAAGAAATGAATTCCATCCTGAAATCACTAGTCTGTAAAAGTGATAACTTTACGGATCAAATGAATCATTTGCTTCACTGAGCTTTGTGTATTTTATCTGGCAAACTAACTCCAAGAAGCTTTTCAAGACTTGTTCCCTGGGGCCATTTTAGTACTTTTGTTGTGAGGCGGTACCTCAGGAAAAGGCAGCATAGGTGGGGAGGAAAAATAGGAAAGGTCTCTGTTTGGAGATCCTAGGGATGCAAACTGAAACTGAACATTCAGAGAAAATTCTGCTGGGGTGCCACAGCTTCCTTAGTCACTGTGCTAAGCTTGGAAGCGGATTCTCCTGTTTTTCTAATGCTGTTCGAACCTCCCTTCCAGCTCTATCAGTCTCTAATGGCCATCAATTTGCTGACTCCCTTGAGAGCTGTCCCTACAGCCACTGCCTCAGTCAGCAAAGTCAAGCCTTCAGTGGGTACAAAAGGCTTGGGGCCAGCCCTCTCTGCCCACCAGGGATCGGAGCCTGGGGCTGTCCCCCAGGCCCGGTGCCAGATGTAGAATTGTGAACAGGCAGGAGCACTGCTTTGCCTCAGGTGTAGAGAAGGTAGCTGGGAGCCAGGGTGCAGCCTGGCTGCCCAACAGGAGCCCCAGGGCCAGTTCTTCCTTCACTCCGCACTGAAGTCCATGGACCTCACAGCTGGGAGGCAGGGGGCAACTTCAAAAGCACACACTGTCTCATAGAGTATTGGTTTTATGGTTTAGTTTATCAAATGTTCCATCCTGGGATTAGAGATAAACATGGAGGGTCAGTGTAGCCTAGCAGGAAAACACTTGAAAAATGCTTTCTCCAAACACTCAACAGATAGACCTCAGCTGTGAGAGAGGCTCAGAAAAGCTACCCACTCGTAAAGTCCCTCAGTCAGTCCCCCTCATGCCCCTTTAGCAGTAACTTCCTTATAAACTGAGTGACCAGGAGGCAATGAACGGGTAACCACTGTTCCACAACCAACAGTTTTGCAACATAGAAATTTTAGCCACACACTGGATATGGTAAGAAAGGATGCTGCATCGTTTCGGAAGATTCCACAGGGTAAAAAGCCTGGTCTGCACTCGGACTCACCTGGACCCCTAGCCATGTCTTTGTCCCAGGTGGGGTGGACAAAAACATACATAGATGCCTTGTCACTGGACTGTGCTCACCTAGTTTGCACGGATGGGGCATGAAAAGGGTTAACTCACTTCACATATCAACCAACAAAGGTGCTCTTTTCCTTCCTAGAGGCAACACAAGATTTAGGCCTATGGCTCAGCAAACAGATAACAGCAGGACTTTTTTTTTTTTTTTAGGAAAACAAAAATCAAATCTCTTCTGTAGCAAACAGCATGAAAAGATTTCAGCAAATTTTGGTTGCAAGCCCCTCCCTGGGCAGGGTCAGTGTCAGCAGCCACCAGTGGGGGATGGGAACAGTCAACACAGATTGCAGGAAGGTAAATAACTCCACTCACTCTGCAAAACAGAACCTGTCCAAGGAGGGGCTTGAAAAACACAGAGGAAACAGGAGGTTAAGCCTAGTTACCTTTGGAACCCAGTGGAGCAGAGAACCTGGACGCTGTGCCCAAACGAGACAAAATACCTTCGCTGGTTGATTGTGAATCAGGCATTCATTCTTTCAAATAGATAACACCTAATAATTAACTGGAGCTGTGCATCATCAGTTTGCTTTAGTGACACACTTCCTGCACCCAGTGTTTCTCTCTTCAACGCAGTGGTTCTCGAACTTGCCTGAGCTTTAAATCCAGTTGGAGAGGTTGTTTAAACAGGCGGCTGAGCCCCCACCCCTCGTGTTGCTGATTGGGTAGGTCTGGGTGGGGCCAGGAAATGTCTATTTCTAAGAGTTCCCAGGTGATCCTCACACTGCTGGTCCTGGGACCACACTTTGAGAAAAAAAACTGCTGTTATAGGCTGCAATCTTTTGCCAGAAGGAGCAATTTAGCGACAATCAGTCTACAAGAAAAAAAATCCTATTTTTTAGGTACTTACTATTACCAGTCATACCTCCAAGACACTGTGGGTTCGGTTCCATACCACCGCAATAAAGCGAGTTGTAATCTTTTTGTTGGTGGGGTGTCTTACTGGCAATTTGTAAAAACTACAGCACCTGTGAAGCACCATAAAGCGAAGTGCAATACAATGAGGTATGCCTGTACTTAAAGCAATGGTTCTCAACCCTGGCCCTGCACTTAGAATCACCTGGGGGGCTTTAGAAACTCCTGCTACCCAAACCAATTAAATCAGAATCTCGGGGGCTGGGACCCAGACACGAGTATTGTTAACATTTCCCAGGTGATTACAAAGTGCAGTCAAGGTTTGGAGTGCTATTTGAGGTCATTCTTGGAGAACCTCAGCCCATAGGTTGCTCAGACAGGTCAGGCTGTGTTTGTATTTTGATAGCCTACAACAGCGTGTCCACATTGCTTTGCACACTCCTTTTATCTACAGCAATTCATTTTCATGTCAACACACAAAATCCGGTCAAAGGATCAGACTATAAATATAAGAAGCTTCAGCAAATATCAATAGCCCACATAGGGCAACTGGTATAAGGGGTCTACTCTGATGTGAATGAGATTCGCTCTCCCACCCAGAGATTCTGATTCAGTTGGTCTGTGGAGGAACCCTGGAACTGCACAGGAGATTCCTGAACCAGACTGAAAGAAATACTCATAATGAAGAAATCACGGGTTTGAATTGGGGTGTGGTGGGGAATTTCACTGGAGTGACCTTAGGCAAGTTACCTAAGTCTCTCAACCTCTGTTTCTTCATGTTTATAAATAATGCTAATAATACCTACTTTGTGAGGTTAAGAATTAAAGATAATACCGAGAGTGCCAAAAAAATGTGTATATATGTGGATGGAAAAGGGGCCACAGGTTAAACCTGACAAGCTTAGGAGAGTAAAACTAAGATGGCGTGAACATACACATACACAAAATTTTTAACTAAGTGGGCAATGGTGGGAAGTCACATCTCGAGCTTCCTGATTAAGTTAATCTGTGCCTTTTCAGGGGGCCTGTTCTTTGTCTTTTTGTACCTAAGAGAACATCTTTAATCCTTTTTCCAGACCAGAGCTGGAAACTGCAAAATTCATTATCATGCTTGTCTCCTGATTACCATCTCTATGTGCTGTAAAGGGCAAACTGTTAGCCATCCTGCACCCACCTGTGTGGGAGGAGTACCTGTCTCTCCAATTTACTTTTATCCAATCCCAGAGATTTCCCCCGCTTTGCTTTCTCCCACCCCCTTAATATATCACCAATGGATTTCATGCAAACTTCCTCCTTTGATTTTATGTATAAAGTAAACTGTAAACTGCCATTTTGCGGAGCATTTTTTCAATCCGTTGAGATTTTGCTTCCCGGCAATTGTCAACAGTTTGGCTCAAATAAACTCTTATAAGTTTTCTCTTAGGTTGGATATTTTTCGTCAACACACATTTTAAGAAATAAAAAAACTATTAAAATTGTAATAATATATACCAATAACAAGAGATGAATACAAGTCACTTTGTAATGGACTTCTGCAATTACCAGAGGTGCTCAAAGTGGTTATCATCAGCGTCCAGGCACTTCTGATTACGGCGAACTACTGCTTGAGCAACGCTGACCAAAGTGTTAATGAAGAGTTAATGCTATGTATGGAGCATCGCAGGTACCAAACAGATTTTATAAACATTAGGTGAAAGACAGCCTGGTGAACAGGTTACCTGTACATTCATATTCTTCCAGTTCTGTTTCAACATAAAATAACAAAACAAAACACAGAAATCCCAGTGGCTGAACAACACCCTCTCCATTTCTGGAAGACGTCATCGATTGATGGCTTAGGCGTTCTGCACCTTTATGAAGGTCTCTGGAGCAGAGTGTCTATGACTCATAAATCATGATTGAAGATACTGTCCACATGTCACACTTTGATAAAAGGACCTCATGATGAATTTCTTCTTGGGGTTAGTTCTAGGAAACAAAGTGTCTTTAAATATAAGTTGTTTTTTTTTTCAAGAGACCTTTTCATCTATATGAAATCCTAGAGCAAAATTTTATGAACCTGTGAGTTTGTATATTTTTCCAGGGAAAGAATTCACAGCCTTCATCTGATTCTTCAGGCGGTCCATAGCTGGAAAAAAGAAAACAGCTACTGGCTTAGCAGCAAAATTGTTCCCATGCTAAACTGACCAACTGTCCCGGTTTCCTGAGGATTCAGGGAAGGGGTGGGGGTTCCTGGGGCACGGAGCTTTCAGTACTATAGCAGGGAGCGTCCCAGGCCAACCAGGTCAAGTTGGTCACCTTACGTGTCATGCAGTAACTTAATTTCTTTTAGCGCCTGACATAGCGTATTGCTTCCATGAAATTGTCACAGTTCTGCTTTGTTCCCTGATGTGTAACTCATGCCAAATTTGAGTGTTTCTGGAAGTTAGCAGGGTATACATTTCAAATCCAGTCAGTACCCTGTCTTCTTAGTGGACCTCTAGTGGAGCACAGAGCTTCTTCTGCGGGAACCAGCTGGGTGGGGAGA